CCAGTTGATCTGAGAGCATAGTGTCTAACGTAACTGTGTGTACCAGTGGGTAGTAACAGGACAGTCATTTAGATATATAGATATATGGTATATCTAACAGAAATCATATAGAGATGTATGATAAGTCACAGGATCATGCAGATATACATGGGATAAATTAGTACGCAGTGTCGTGTCATGAAGTGAAAGAAAGAAGCGATGGGAAAAAAGGGATCTTTTGATTACTCATTAGCTACATTTGTTGTTATATATTAAAAAATGGAGAATGTGCATACTCAATAATCATAATATTTCGTTGTATGGCATTTTCAATTTCCGTAAGAATTCATAAATGGAAGGTGAAATGGGAGAGTTACACGTTAAATTGAATTCCTTACAGTGTGAAGCAATCATAAAGTTCTTTACAATTTTGATCACATATTGCTCTTGAAATTTCAATTAGGTTTTCACCAAATTTTTTATTTGTTAGAGATTTAAATGATAAAATGCAATGACCAATGAAATAGTGCTTCTGATCATGCAAATGATCAGTTTGCATGCAGTCCATACAATTAAGATTTTATATCTCATATTATGGTCTAGGACAAACATCTAAATTACTTAATATATAGTTGCAACGATATATGCAGCAATTGAACTAACACATTTGCATTTTTCGCTCTCTTCACATTGTAAATTTCTAAAAAAGAAAATTTGGAGTAAATTGAAAATTTATTTAAGCTGACAAATATGGCAATATTAAGAAAAAGTAGGATAGCAGAAAAAATGAGTCAGCGAAACTCGAATAAGATTGCAACAGATGAAGCAATACATTTTATGATACTGTAATGGATGAAAGGGCAATACAGTCTATGGTACTGTAATGGATGAAAGAGCAATACATTTTATGATTAATGTAAAGAAATTTGTATAATTAAGAAGAACGCTAAATGCAACATAATTCTTTCTTGTCGAAAAAGAAAATAAAAAGAAATATACTGTTGTAACATTCATTTTATTAACATTACTTTTGGTTTGACTGGTTGCTTCAATATTTGGCTTGAAAGTAAATTAATTCGCTATAAGTAATTTTATTAAACATTTAATAAAATTTGTTGAAAATAAAAATAAAAACTCATTTCACATTATAAGTTTTTTTTTTTTTGAAAATAATTTTCGAAAAAAAAATCTGGGAATAATTGCACGTGCTAATTAGTTGATAATTGTGTAAATTAGGAATGAATGAATAATGAGGGACCTCTAAAACGCAGACAGATTGCAAATTTCTTTTATGAAATTGGTTCCTTCAAATTTTTAAAAGTCTCAATTAATTTTTGAGATGATTTAGCTCAATTAAGTGAATTGAAATTTGAATAATTATCAGAAACTGATGAATAATCCACCAGAAGAGCATCGTGATGCTCATCCATCGGGTCGTCGCTCATACTTCAATGACGCGGACTTTATGTCATTCAACGAAACGGTCAGACGAATGTTTGAAAGTTTATTCCACGGCTTAGAGCAACAGTACCGCCAACTGGGAATAGGCTGGAGTGGTTCACCAACGATTGCGACACCATTTCAATATAATTTTGGTAGTTCAGTTGGACAGGTTTGCATTTTTAAATGTAAATTAGTAAACAATATGTGAGATACTTGAGAATTTTTTCATTTCCTCAATTTTAAAAATGATTTTTTCTTCCAATATTCTTTTTTTCACAAAATTTCAACATAGCTTCTTTTCTGCTTCTTATTAATACTTTATATTGAATTATTGATGAAGGAATACAAACGAATTAATATTTATGATCACATATTTCTTTCTCTCAGGTTGTCAACAACAGGGAAAAATTTGCTATGGAAATGGATGTGTCGCAGTTTCATCCGGGAGATTTGAAAGTTAGTGTACGTCGTGGTGAACTTTCAATTGAAGGACATCAAAAGCAACAACGTGATCAGCATGGTTTCATTGAACGACACTTTGTTCGTCGATTCACGTTACCTGATGATGTCGATGAAACTACGCTAACTTCTCATTTGAAGGGTTTCTTTTGCAGTTTAGAAAATTTAAAGTTGTGAATTTCAATTAACAAAAATTACTAAAGATTATTAAAGGACGAAATATGTGTACTATAATCATGCATAAAAAAATATCACTTCTAATAATGAAATATATTAAATGATTGATAAAAATTGTTATTTTCCGATTCAAAATAAATATTTGATATATATTTATCCGATTATAATTAAACGGATAGTTTCTACATCTGATAAATAATGGTTCAAATTAAGACAATAAAGGTTATAATTAATATGAAGAAATTAGAAATTTTCAGAAAATGGTATTCTAGAGATAAGTGCTCGAAAGAAGAATGTTGCACCAATAACTCCAACACGAAATATTCCAATTGAAATGCATAACGCCGATCAACAACGTTCAAGACAATCAAAACGAACCGATTCGAGTGGAAATCGTACAGGAATGAGTAATCACTGATTCAACATATTTTATATAACATATTAACACTACTGCTTTGAAATGTTAAGTAAACTGAGCTAAGCAATATTAGGATTACTTTTCTTTTAATTTCAACTTTCTTCCTACTAGAATTTTCCCAATAAAATTGTATAATTTTAAAATTCGATAATTTTTGGATGGATTTACCATAACTTATTTATTGATATAAAAATACCCCATCTTTGAATAGATTTGAATGCTAACTCTAAAACATTATTATTGCAATGATTTGAAAAATGTAGTAATCAAATGTGAATGATATACTGTGTGGATTATCTCTGAATGTCATAATCTATTGTATTCAATACTGAGATTGCTAGAAATATCCATAAATTTTGATAAACAATAAAATTTTCAAGATATTTCAAATAAAGTAAAGAATATCGCACCTGCAAATAATGTTTGGAAAAATTGAAAATATTAAAATTTGAAAGAGAATACGTTCGATTAAAATAATCAGAAGTATTTCGGTTGAAATAATCAAGAATGACAGAAAATAATTCAACTGGAATGATCAGGAATGAGAAGAAATAATTCGATTGAAATAATTAGGAATTAGAAGAAATAATCCGATTGGAATCATTTCATATTAAATCACAAATCCAGAAAATGTTTTGAGTAACACGTTTGTAACCAGAAATAAACTGGAAAAGTGTTTTATTAATTAAGCTATTTATCTTCAATGCTCTACAAATTAGTTGCCAATTTCATTTGAATTCGATGATTTTATGATTTCTCACCTACAACTAGTCATTAACAAGCTTCAAATATCATTTCAACCATTTCTAATTGAACTAGAATTTGAACTTATTAATTGAACAACAAATGCTTCACTTATCGACGGGATGATTTCAATTAGGATAATGATTACAATTTGGACCGAACTTGTCATTCTAATTAATTCAGACTGCATTTTACAACCATGACATATCAAAGTGGAAGTTACAATATGAAAATAAATAAAGTTAGCTTAGAACAAAGAGTAATGGATGATCTTTAAATGTTAATAATTTGCATAAATTATTATACATTTCTTTCTTTACTGGCTCTTCCTAAATTTCAAAATCAGCTTTTCTACTTTTACCAAATTGCTAAAAGTTGATAAAAATAATTTCAAACGAACAACAGCCGTAGGAATAAATGATGTGTTGATGAGGAGGAAATATTAGTCAGGAATACAAATAGTTCCGTTATAATAATATCCCTTACAACATCCTTGTCTATCCAATTTCAACCAATTATTTCCACTTTTCCAACCCAAATAAACAGTAAACGTGGATTTCGAACAAATATAACGAAAATACCTTTAAAAAAATAAAAAACAAAATTTCCTTCCAATCATCGATTAACTCTAAAAATTACTTTGGCACAAATAGTAAACTACGGAAATTCATTGATTTAATTATTGGCGTTCTTTTTTCACAAAACGAATTAATTTTCATTTTTATTTTTAAAAGTCTTAGGAGAACAAATTTTCGTTTTATCATTCTTTTTACTATCACCTCTGATAAAAATACAAAATGCTGCAAACTTACTTTTCGCAAAGCTGTTCACCAGAAAAGACTGTTTTGAGATATTGCTTATGCTTGTACTGATCCACATTCAAGTTGTCAATAAGTGGCATGTAAACATCTGTCATAAATTTAAATTTAAAACTTATAACGAATAATTAATACACAGTGATCGAAAATACTAAATATCACTTATAATAATCATTACAAACAATTTATTCATGCTTAATTAACTGCTTAATTTTATTTAAATGATTGCCAAAAAAATCGTTAGAGATTGAACGAGACGGAAAAAAATAGTCATTATATGGAAAATTTAGATTGTTTTACTTTATATTTCTGCATTATATCTGTTTGGGAGTTGAAAGATTGTAAACTGAAAAGTGACGACAGATTCTCTTTTGTGTTAAAAAAGTGTAAACTTTAAAATTCCACTTTTTTCATAAATCTTCACAGTGTGTTTCATTTTTTGCAAATCCATAATAATATTAATAAAATTTTGAACAAATAATTTTAAATGTATGAATATCGATAATTTTTAAACTTATGCATTTTCTTATTCATAATTAATTTTTACCTTTATCTGCAGCAAACTGTAATTTATGATAAAGACTACATGGTATAATTAATCGACCAACACAATCATAATTTCTCCAAGTTGGACACCGTTTTTTTCCACATTCTTTCATCTCTTCTTTTGGCCCTCTGAAAGCTTTTATTAAATGACTGATTGATAATCTTAAGTGATTAATCAATCATTTTCAAAATATTATTCTATTGTGCTTGAATATCTA